CTCTCAGGGTCAGTGGAATGTGAGGACTGTGAACTAGAAGCACCAGACAAAAATAGCTCTTATCCTGCTCCGTGCTCTCTTGGTACAGCGACTTAGCTTGGTCAAGGTCAGAGAGACTTGATTACAATCCAGACCTCTTGTCTCTCAGCTTGAGTGCTGGCATCTACATCACACTGGACCCCACAAAAACTTCTTGAGTAGCGATCTGTAGCTCAGCAAAGCACTATGTACATAGTATGGTGCCCAAGAAACATAAGGCATAGAGCACTGCCCAGCCAGACTGCCAGGATTACACTGCTCCAACAAGCCCTTCACTGTCCCCAGAGCAGGGAAAATCCTGGCCTTCTACTTGAAGTTGGAGATAGCTATGAGGGAGTATGAGTTGGAGGAACACTCATCACACAAGAACCATTTCTTCTATGCCCTAAATGGCCCATGAATCGTTCAAACTATAATTCCCAATTCTAATGAGGAAAGGATAAACAATTTGATTTCTACTTCTCATATCCCACCCACATCCCACTCCTATCCTAACTGCTCAGGAAGGTATAGGCAGTACATACAATCTCGTGTTCAACAAGCAAGTGTTACAGTGCCAAGAGGGAAATGCAGGCTGGGATCACCAGAAGAGCTTCCATGAAAAGATCAGAATTTCAGAAAGGCCCAAGAACGAACTTGACCTAGAGAAGCTATGGATTGTGTCTGTGGATTTTCACCTGACCCACTTCCATTGAACTTGATTCTCATTGAGTCATTTCTTTCCTTAGAGTTGCTAACCTGGTATCTGGGAGCTTCCACGGCCAACTCATGCAGTGCCTGCCTGAAACTAGAGCCATGGGGGAAGGAAACACAGTCTAGACATGGAAAAATAAACTAAGCCCTGTGAAAATTATTTACACCCCTGGATCCAGCTGTACCTGACCCTGAGCCAAATGGTCTAGATTTGAAGTTACATTACTCAATAACTGTAGTGCTCTTTGTTGTTTTTGTTTTGCCGTTTTTGCTTAAAGCCAGTTGAAATTGGGCTTTGCTCATTTGCAATGGAAAGGCACCTAGTAAAGTATGTAGTTGTAAATAAAAGGGGTGCAGGGGATGGCAAGAACAAGCATGGAGAATGGTAAGAGCCAAGGGGCCCAGGGGCAGAGATAGGGTCTTTGATCTCTCAGGCATATACATGAAGAGTGACCAGAGAGAGAGGAGCTCATTATGAAAACACCAAGGGAGGGAGAGAGGGAGAGACCTGGACTTGTACCTGAACTTCTGAGAATCGACACCCAGAGCTGAATGCAAGAACATGCATGCCCAGACACAAAGGCATCTCACGAACTGGCTGGTCCAGTGGCTGCTCTCCTCACTCAGGGAAACCCCTACCACGTGCCAGATGCTGAACATCTGTGGTTAGCACTGCTCCTCTAAAGAATAGCAGAGATTCTTCTCCGGGCGAGCCACACATGTTCCTTAGCTGTGGTCAGGAGAACCATGCTCTGCAGACGAGTTTCAGCTGACAGCCTGCTCTGGGGCACGTCGCACAGGGAAGCTGATTCATCTTCTCTGTCTGCTGCCTGTGGGGGCCGCACACCTGTGTCCTGGGCTGACTTCAGAGAGAGGGGAGACAAAAGAGCACACCGGGACCCAGCTGCCTCCACGCATACTGTTCGGTGGGGCCGACAGAAGTGCAGCCATGCCTGCTGGGCAGTCAGCAGTGGGCTTGTTTATGTTCGGCTCCTGGGAACCCACACCAGGGACTCTTCCTCTGAGTTCAGTCCCTGCCGACAGCTTGGGATGGGAAAGACTGACATCTGGACTTGATCTGACCCCCCCATTTCTCCTCCTGCCAGTCGTCCACACAATACATCTTCAATCATTGCACAAGGCACCTTGCTCAAAGACACCCAAGCAGAGATGGAGGCGGAGCCACTTCTGGCCTATGTCTATCTTACCAGTATCCTACTAGATGTGCACAGGGAAAGAACAAATAAATAAAGAGAAGGATAGGATGGGTGTTGGTGACTGATGATGCAGCAGACGACTCGTGGTGAGTGTGAGATGGTGTGCGTGTGAAGCTGTGGCTTCCACAGTGCGTCTGCAGGCCCCTGGCCTCTCGCTACATGGGCATCCGGCCTTTCTGAGTATTTTTGTCAAAGTGAGTGAGAACTGGCTCTTGGCACAAGAAATACCAAAATCTAAGTGGCACAATGCTGGAGGCGGATGTCCTGTCCCAGTGTGAGGGTGTCTTCTTGGTGGCTACAGCGACCCAGGGGTCAAATGCTTCCACCGGCAGCACCGCCACATTGAGCAGCCTGCAAGGGTTGAGGGCTGCAGCCACAGGATGAGATCCGCAGGAGCAGAGCTGGAGATCTGTGTACAGGGGGTCAGTCAGGGAGTGCTCTGGGCTTAACACTCAGAGAAGGAGGGAGCGATGAAAGACTGGACAGAGGAGTAGTGGAGCTGCCTTGGAGTTCCAAGCGAGGTCTCTGCCAATGCCCGGGAACTCTGGGACTGTTGCTCCCCCATTCGCGGAGGAACGACACTGGACCCTGCGCTGTTCTTTCTGCTCAGCCCTTCCCAGGTTTGCCGCCGGTCCCTCACTCGTGGAGGAACGACGCCATCCCGGGTTAGCTGTCGGCCCCTCCACCTCTGTGGAGGGGCAGCACCCCACCCCCACCCCCACCCCCCGCCGCTTTCCCCGCTTCCGCGGAGGAGCGGCACACCACTGGCCGGCTCTCTCAGGGGCTGCTCAGATGTTCCTCAGGTGTTCCTGGTGCATATTGTCTCTCTCCTCCTTTATAGTCCTCTTCCACCAATCCCAACTCTGCTACCCACACACCGAGCACGCTGCTCTCCTCCAATCAGGAGCAGGATCAGCTCCTGCAGCTTATCAAACTGATGAGGCAGCTGCGTAGAGGTTGTTTGGTCTCTCTCTCTCAGCGCCATATTGTGGGAGAGCAGATGCATAGAATAAGTCTTAATTCCAGTAACTTAGTCTAGTCTCAGTTGCTCCCCACATGGGACAGGGGAGTTTTCAGAGTTATCTTGAGTGGGGGCAAGGTAGTGATGCTGGTAAACCATCAGTCCTCAAATGCCACCGAGACCCGTGTTCCAGGGGCCGAAGAAGTGAGTCGCTCCTTGATGAAAGGGAACCTGGGAGGTCACCAGAGCGTTGACCACAAGGGGACCAGCGCAGGGGTTGGCACACACGTGGTGTAGGCCTCTCATAATTGCTCATCTCTGTTATTGCAGCACAAAGGCAGCCACTGGCATTGGTAAACAACTGAGCATGACTACATTCCAATAAAACTTTATTTACAAAAGCAGCAGTGGCCCATGGTGTGTTGACGCTGGCCTGGAAGAACCCAGAAGTGTTTGAGCACCAAGCCTAGTGTTGACTTTCACCCTTCCTGTCCATAATCCATCAGTCAGGGCCCAGCACACAGCCCCACTTTAACTGCAAAAGGCTGGGAAATGGAATCTTTCTATGAGTCCCAGAAGAAAATAAATGGAGTTGGAGAACGCAGCCAGACGGCCACTGTGCGATTCTCATACTGAAACCCATGATGTTAATCCATGATACAACCCTGAACTATGGTAGATATTTTTGTAAATCTACTGGGGTACTTTCAAAAGTTTGTGTTTTTTAAAGCTTTTATTTATTGTATTTGAAAGAGTTACAGACAGTGAGAGGGAAAACCAGCGAGAAAGGTCTTCCTTCCGTTGGTTCACTCCCCAAAGGGCCACAAATGCCAGAGCTGTGCCAATCCGAAGCCAGAGCTTCTTCCTGGTCTCCCACGTGGTTGCAGGGGCCCAAGGACTTAGACTATCTTCTACTGCTTTCCCAGGCCATAGCAGAGAGCTGGACTGGAAGAGGAGCAGCCGGGACTAGAACCGGCGCCCATATGGGATGCCGGGGCCACAGGCGGAAGATTAACCTACTGCACCACGGCACCAGCCCCTCAAAAGTTTTATTGAAAAAATGGAACTAAAAGATAAGTTTATTTCAGTACAAAAGATTTCTGAAATCATACATACAACAGGTTTTCCAAAGGTGCATAGAAACTTTTGGTGCAAATTCTTTAAAAATCCATGATTAGTTCATAATTTCCATTTAATTCAACTTTTCTGTGAACTTTTTGAAGTATACTCATACTACTAAATGAATGATATTCACTTTACTTCAGAGGAAACATGAAATTTTCAAGAGTATTATTCATTGTGTGTGAATTCTGTACACCATGCCCTGATTTTATTTTTTTCTATGTTTTTCCCTTTAGCGTTAATTTTTAAAAATTTTTATTCATTTGTTTATTTATTCAAGAGGTAGAGAGATAGAAACAGATCAACAGATAGAAGAAGCTCTCATTCAGTGTCTACAATGGCTGGGGCTTGCACAGGGCCAAAACCAGGAGCCAGGAATGCAACCCAAGTTGGCACCCAATTAGTTGACCCATCACTGCTGTCTCCCCGGGGTATGCATTGGTAGGAAGATGGAAGAGGGATCAGCACCAGGAATGGAATCCCCGTGTGAACTGTGACTCCCACACCAAGTGAATGGTCAAGAGCCCAAGGGTGAAGGGAGCATGCTGGATCCAGAGCTTCACTCTGCTGCTCACCAGCTCTGAAAAGCCAATGTCACATCCATCCTGACCCTCAGTCTCTCCATCTCTAAATTGGGGTGATGTTGGTGATACTTCATGTGGTTTCCAAAAGGATACAAGCACTACGTCATACACAAAGCATTTGGTGGTTGGCACATACCAGGCACTCAACCAACAGCAAAGACTGTCAGTTTTTTATGAAGAGGAAGAGCACAGGAGACAGGCGATCAAAGTCAGCTGTGGTGACAGTGTGCAAGTCGCTGCATCTCCCTGATCTTGATGAGGTCCTCAGCAAGAATGCAGATCAGCAGGTGGTCCGCCCCCCTTGCCCAGCCTATGCATGAGATGAGTAAGAGTTCCTTAGACTCGTGTAATTAAAAACAAATACAAAATGATAGAAATACTTACCTGACAGGGTTGTTGGGAGGAAAAAGTTCGTGTCCCTGAAAATATGTGGAGGCAGGAGGTTCTAAGGAAACAAACATGAATAAGATATTGTATTACTTATCTACCAGCCAAGAGCTCAGTGCTGTAAGACAACAATGTTATTTTCCACTGTTCTGTGGGCTGGCCAGCTGGCTCTTCTGCTGGTTTCTCCTGGGTTCCCTCACACAGCTGCAGTTACCTGTTGGCTGTGGACTGAGTCCAGCCAGGACAGCTGGGAAGGCAGTGTGCCATGGGACCAAGCCCCAGGGCACATGCACTAACCAAGCCTCTGATTGCATCCAAATTTCTGCCGTCCCATTGGCTGAACCAAGTCACACGGCCAAGTACAGAGTCAGCATGGGCCCAGACCACACAAGGGCACAGATACCTGGAGAAGGAGTCATTTGGGGCCATAAGTATAACAATTTATCACAAACATCTTCTGCATCTGTACGACAGCTGCTGTGAAGTGTCCAGCTGGACCCTGTTGGATTTACCACTCTCTACAGTCCATCTTCCCTGGTATTTCCTAAGGAGGTGGAAGGCCCCCACTCAGAGCATCTCACATCACTGGATCTGACAGCACTGGGTCACTCCTAAACACATTCCATTGGCCAGAATCCAGTCACATGGCCACAGCACAACTGCAAAGGATGCTGGGAAATGTAATCTTACAAATCCCAGGGGTGGGGGGGCTCAGCTGTCACAGAGACTCCTATGCTGATGTCGCTTCTAAGAGTGGCTCCCACTCTGGGAAACTCATGGAGTAATCCTCCTCTGTCCTTTGGCATCACTTGGCTGATGGTACAGGGACTAGGGGATCTGCAGAGGTCCATGGAGGCTGGGGTCCAGGCGGTCTGACCAGGCCTGGAGTAAGGTGAGGACAGGAGTGGGCAGGCATTGTACCAAGGTCCAAAAGTCCAAGACATGAGCCCTCAAAACGAACACTAGATGGTGATCCCTGCCAAGGCCCAGAAGGCAGAAAGAAAATTGGCCTTGTAGTTTTTCTAGCAAGGTAGCATGCTGTGGGCTGTTCTTTCTCAATACCAAGAGTCAACTGGCACTTGTCTTCTCTCGCTGTTACACAAAGGACAAGGCCTTGGGTGTGACCCCTAGGTCTCCAGAAAGTGCCTCCATGCGCTCTCCAAAGGTATTGCAATGTAAAGCTTTTCCTTTCTCCCATAGTCTTGACTTTTTATGATACCCTTTGTTATTTAGTGTCACTCTAAGAAAAAATTACATTACTAGCATAAATTTTATCATTCAGCTTTATATTGTGCAATGTCCATTTTCAGTGCCAATGTAAGTGCCCATACACTGAATCATCAAAATGGCACAGTTCTCATTTCTTAGCTCTTACACACACGTGTTTCATTCTCACCAGCCCAGTAGACACTCTGCTCAAAACTAGCCTTATTTGAAAAGGAAAGAAAAGGAAATTAACTTTGGATTACCCAGCATCTTTCTTTCCTTCCATACCTTCATGTTCAGCTCAGCGAGGACATGACAAGGTTGCTTGGTTCTTGCTTCTGTCTTGTACTTGGAGCAAGTTCTTATCTGACACCCTTGGAGGTGTCGGTGCCCCCCTCCCCACAGTCCACCTCAAGTCCCCTGGACAGTCATTAACTAAGCACGCCTACCTAGGACTTACATGGAGTCTCCCTGAGCTCCTTGCATCACGAGTCTCCAGGAATTTATGCTCAGGGTACATCACAAATGCTAGTTGTGAATGGGTAGAATGGCAAAGAAGAGCAGATAAGCCCATGAGGTGTATTTAGTCTGCTCATACCTGGGCTCCACTGTCCAATCAGACTTCACTTAAAAAAATAAGTTCAAAGACCAAAGAATGAAGAATTCCAAGATAGCAACGGCAGAGCATTAAACCTAATACAGACTCCTTCAGAGTACAGGGGCCTGCACATGGCCATGAAGCTGAAATATTCACTAGGGATTTTCACGGGCTCCTCCAACTAAACACGTTCCAACCTGATGTCCAGACCTACCCATTAGCACCACCATCAGATATTCTCCTCACTTCTCTTCCCCATCTCAATAGTGGGTCTCCTCTCTACCCTCTTGCTACAGTCACGCCTGGCACTCCTGTGGAAGACCACTGTCCCCCCACTGCCAGCCCCTTCCCTCGACTACATCCAATCCATTGTTGAATCCTATTGATTTACATCCTGAAACACTTCCCCATCTGTCCATTTCTATTTCTCTACTATTTCTTGTCTAAATCACCATCAACTCTTAAGGCAACCATAACAGCCTCTTAATTGGTCTCCCTACATCCATTTTGGCCCCCCATAATCTATTTTATTTATACATATTTTATATCATCTTTTTAAAATGTAAATTGACTCGCTTCACCCCGTGCTACTGAAATGACCTCATTAAGAGTCTACTTGGCACTCTAGATCTTAGCTTGAATGGTACTACCTCAGAAGGGTCTGCTTAGAGCACCCCGGACAAAGTAAGCCTGCTCCACACCTGCCCCACTTCTCTCTCTCAGAATCCGTTCCTTTCCTTTACCAGACTCATCACAACCTGGAGCTCCATTTGTGGGCATCTCTGAGCTAGAATAGAGAGTCATAGAAGATAGACTATTTAGCTTCATTGACTACTCTATGCCAGGTCACTAGCATCGTGCTTACTCACTGATAGACACTCGAATTTTTTAAGGAATGAATAAACAAATTCATGAGACAAAGGAGATAGAAGAGCCGAGGTTAATTCTCAGATCTCTGGTTTAGATGACAGGAGCTCGTGGTAAGCACACAGAAAAGGGAGAAATTCTCAGAGGAAAGCAATTCATTAGGAAAAAGAGAGGGGAGGGAAATTTCTGTGCAAGCTACAAATATATAATGGTGCAACAGTAACAAAAAACCAACCCCAGCTAGCATGAACGGAGGTAACAACACCATCAAAACCAGTACGCTTTGAGTGAATGGCGCACAATAGACAGTTATGTCTGGCTAATAGGCATGAACCAGGCCTGGCCAGGACACAGAACTTCTGGTCAGTGCAGGAGTAGATGATGAAGACACAGTGGTGTCAGAAATCCCAACAGCGAGACTGCAGGGGGACTTCAGATCATTCTGGAACTGAGAGTAAGAAAACAGGCAATGCTCTGCCTCTCTCTCTCACTCGCTCCATCTCGCCCTCTTCCTCTACCCTTTCCCAGTTCCAAGGCAAAGACTCTAGTATGTTAGACTCTGGTCACGTGCTCCTAGGGCACTCAGCCAGGACCAGGGGACAAAGGATACAGAAGAACCAGACTGTCCTCCCAGCTACGAACAGATGAACCCAGATCTCCAGCCAGCCACGCCAAGCATTCAGGGTCACAGGTTGCTCAGGGTAAGCCAGCCCCTGCTTCTTAAAAGCAAAGCAAACCCCCAGCCTTTCAACCACTAGGTCAAGATCCTAGGAGCCAGTAGAACCTGCTGCGCCCTTCCCCACCCACGGAACACTGCAGCACTGGGGCCAGCGCTCAGGCTGCTCCACAAATGCCCAGCTGGCCTGTGAGCCACGCCTTGATCATCACCTGGTGGGAGGTCAGTTTCCTTTTTCCCTAAGATCCAACACTGAATTCTTAGTCCCTCTTTCTTCTTATAGGATCCAGCTGTTGCCTGCAGCTTCCTGCTGGGAAGAGACATCTGAGCGGGGGAGATGTCTCCTGCACTCCCTAGCCGTCACTCAATGCCAGACACGCCCCTTTGGCACTGCATGTGTCCATCCGCGAAATGGGAGAGCCCTCCGGTGGTCAGGCAGCGTGACTGCCCCTCCCCTCTGTAGCCTAAAGCACTGAGGTCAGAAGCCGCCCTGCTGCGTGTGGTGGGAGCCTGGGAGGGGCCAGGGAGACGCTCCCACAAGATGCCGACCCAGTGATAGCTTCATTGTACTTGGCCCCTGGCCCACCCACAACTTTCCCGACAATCTCACCACCACCGCACCTTAAAACCACCCAGCAAGAAAGGGGCGCACTCTCTCTTTGAGCGAAGCCCTCGGTCCCTCCCTCTGGGGCAGAGCCGCGGGACAGCAGCATCTGATGGTGACTCAGTGTTTAGTCTGTGGCTGTTCACCTGCACTGCGCTCTCAGGAGGGTCTCGCTCCAGCGCCATAAGCCACAGTCTCCCTGGGAATGGGGCACCTTGGAAGGACAGCGGGGGCCCAGGGAAGCCAGAGGGAGGGAGGGAGGCCCTGGCGTGTGAGCGGGGCGGGGTCAGCCACAGGATGGGCTGGGATCAGCCGGGATGGCCAGACAGAGGCTCCTGGAGTCTCCAGGAGGTGGTTGGCAATCAGACAAGCGGCTTCTCCAGGGGTTCCCAGGGAGGAGAGTAAACCAAGTGCGGCGGTCTCCTCTGTGCCCGGGGCGTGACTGGTGCTGAGCCCCGGGGACAGCCAGCAATGGGACCCCCACAACTCAGGCGTTCCGGAAGCGGAAAATGGAACAAGAGAAACAACTGCTCCTTGGCATGAAGGAACAATGAGCCCAGCGTGCGCCTCTCTCCTCCCAACACCACCCTCTCTTCAGATTCTCATTCTTCCCAAGGTTTATCAAAATAAACTGTGAGGCTAGGGCTTAGACGCCAACTGCCAGCCACAGCGGGGGCAGGTGTGACACCAGGAGGGCCTGCCAGCCAGCAGGGCCAAGTCCCAGAAAAAGGCGCGGAAGGGAGCAGGAAGCAGAGAGGCAGAGGTCGAAGGCCTCCAGGGAATGGTCCAAGCTGGACTCACACCTGGGAGGTGTCCCCACCTCCCCAGCCCATCCACGTTGTGCCCGCGGGAGCTGGGCTTTGCTTCTTCCTGGCCCGAGCTCAGAACCCTCTCAGCCCTGGGCCAGGCTGTCTGCTTGCACCTTATTTCACGTGGAACTTCCTGCCGGGACTCAGCAAGCAATAGCCAGTGGATGTTAGGGACTTCAACAGGTCAGCTAACAGAAGCCTTGCTGCTCTAACCAGGGGAACCAGTCCCCTGCAAAGCAGCTGCGCCCTGCCAGCCCCTAGCGATGCAAGTCAGGCCTTTTGACCAACACTCAGGATGAAGTCAGCATCTCTGATTCTTTTTCTTCCAGTGTTAGGGCAAAGTCTGGCTATGCTTGCAGATTTCGCCTTGTGCCTCCCAGCCTCTAATCTCCTCATCACATCAAGTCCTGAGCCAGAGATAACAGATGCTGTTGATGATAGGTCTTCTTAAGCATGTCTTGTTGATTCAGATTGAAGTGTGAAGCCAGGAGCCAGCAGCCATTTAGCCTGGTCCTTAAGATGCCTGCATCCCCTGTTGTTGCAGTACATGGGTTTGATTCCCAGCTCCAGCTGCTGACTCCAGTTTCCCGCTAATGTGGACCCCCAGAGGCAGGAGTGATGGCTCAAGTACCTGGGTTCCTGCCACCCATATAGGAGAGCTGGGTTGAGTTCTCGGCTCCTGGCTTTGGCCCTGATGCAGTCCCAGCCCTTGTGGGCGTTTGAGGAGTGAATCAGCACATGGAAGCTTTGTCCCATCTGTTTCTCACTTTCTCTCTCTCCCTCCCTCTTAAATAAATGATTAAAAAAATTATGTAAGTATGAGAAGAAAACCATGGCTTGAACAGAGAGACCAGTCATTTACTGCTGTGGATATAGGGAGACAAATCCAGGAATTAAAATACGCTTTTTGTCACAGCAACAGAGAAGATGCGCGGGGCCAGCATTGTGGTATAGCAGGTAAAGCTGCTGCCTAAGACAGTAGCATTCCCTACAACACACAGCTGCTCCACTTCCAATCCAGCTCCCTGCTAATGGCCTGGGAAAAGCAGTGGAGGATGGCTCAAGTGTTTGGGCCCCTGCTACCCACCTGGGAGACCTGGATGAAGCCCCTGGCTTCTGACTTCTGGCTTCAGCCTGACCCAGCACTGGTTGTTGCAGCCATCTGGGGAGTGAACAAGTAGATGGAAGATCTTTCACACACACACACACACACACCCCTGCAACTCTGCCTTTCAAATCCATAAATAAATCTATATGTGCTTACTGCTATTATTTTTTATCGACAGGCAGAGTGGATAGTGAGAGAGAGAGAGACAGAGAGAAAGGTCTTCCTTTTGCCGTTGGTTCACCCTCCAGCGCACCGTGCTGATCCGAAGGCAGGAGCCAGGTGCTTATCCTGGTCTCCCATGGGGTGCAGGGCCCAAGTACTTGGGCCATCCTCCAGTGCCTTCCTGGGCCACAGCAGAGAGCTGGCCTGGAAGAGGGGCAACCGGGATAGAATCCGGCGCCCCGACCAGGACTAGAACCCGGTGTGCCGGCACCACTAGGTGGAGGATTAGCCTACTGAGCCGCGGCGCCGGCTCCATAAATAAATCTTTAGAGAACAAAAACAGTAAAACAAAATCCTACATTTAAAAAAAAAAGATGCTTGTGTTAGTCATTTTTCTTCACTACTACAAAATACCTGTGGCACCTAACTTCATAAAGAGGACAGGCTTATTTGGCTCACAGATTTGGAGGTTCACATTCAAGATTAGGCAGCCCCCAAGGTTTGGCCTCACTCAGGGCAGCAGAAGGAAATGGCAGTGTGTGTGCTGAGGACAGATCAAAAGACACCAAAAGCAAAGAGAGGCTGCACCCAACTCAGGTTTGTTTTTTGTTGTTGTTGTTTTGTTTTGTTTTTGACAGAGTGGACAGTGAGAGAGAGAGAGACAGAGAAAGGTCTTCCTTTTCTGTTGGTTCACCCTCCAATGGCCGCCGCGGCCAGCACATCACGCTGATCCGAAGCCAGGAGCCAGGTGCTTATCCTAGTCTCCCATGGGGTTCAGGGCCCAAGTTCTTGGGCCATCCTCCACTGCACTTCTGGGCCACAGCAGAGAGCTGGCCTGGAAGAGGGGCAACCGGGACAGAATCCAGCGCCCCAACCGGGACTAGAACCCGGTGTGCCCGAGCCGCAGGCGGAGGATTAGCCTATTGAGTCATGGCGCTGGCCTCCAACTCAGGTTTTAAAAGAACCTTCTCTCATGAGAACCACCTCCAGTGACCAAGAACTTCCCACTCGGCCCCAGCTCCAACCACGGGTTCAGTTTCCACTCTCAGTACTGTTACGACTCTGGGGTTTAAAGGACCATCTGAGTACAGGAGCCAAATCACATACAAGACCTGCTCATGCTCAATCCCCTGTCTCCATAACTCACCTTTTAATCAGTACCTGATCTTGGAGTGTACGTGGATCTCCCGGCTCCCTGCCTGGAGGATGAGCTCTGTGACGGTGCAGACTCTGACGTCTCACTACTGTGTCCCCAGCACCCAGGTCACTGCCTGGCACCTGGCAGACATTCAGTGACTATTTATGCCACGGATGGATGGTGGAATGGATCTCTCTGATCAGGTCATGGCATGACAAGTGAAATGCATCCCAGGAAGACTTGAGGGCACAGATGACTACAATGGCAGCCACACACAGAGGGGATGGTGAGTGTCTGTGAATCTGATGATGATAATATCAATGCTGATAATTGTTTTCATCTCTTATCTGATGCTATAGCAGAAGACCTGAGATCAGGAAACTTAAATAGAACACGGATTTATTCGGCTCATGGTTCTAGTGGCTGGAGAGTCCAGAGTAGGGTGCCGGCATCTGACAAGGGCCTTGTGTTCCATCATGCCACGGCAGCAGGTGGAAGGACCAATGAGAACAGAGGAGACTGAACTCCACTCTCAAACTAACCCACTTCCGCAGTAACAACCTTGATCCTTCACAAGGGCACAACCTTTGGAATCTAATCAGCTCTTAGTAAGCCCCACCTCCCAGCACTGTTGCCTTCGGGATGAAGGTCCCAACACGTAAACTCTGGGGGACGCATTCACACCACAGCAATGACAATGGCAGAGGGACTGTGGTACACTCTGACAGGCAATACTTGTAATACCCAATCCCATTCTAAAGGTGACAACACTTTCACTCAGATAGTAAGTGACATGCCAACGTCAAGAGTTAGTCAAAAAATAAAACAAAAACAAACAACAACAAAGAGTTAAGAGCAAAGCCAGGACCTGAAATCAGACCCATCTGCCTACAAAGACCACGCCTTTCAATCACGATACTGCCTCAAAGCCATCACCGCATTCATGCATGCACTGATTCAACCCAACACTAACGTTATTACTCGACTTCT